AGGAAACTGCACTAGGCTTGAGAATGGTCAATACTCTGTTCGCCTCCTGTCCGCTTCAGGATTCGAATCTCTAGGTGATTCCTATTGCCTGGCTCGTCGCCGTTTAAAGAGTTTGGAAGCTAAGCTAGATAGAAATCCCGACCTGAAGATTCAGTATTCGTCCATTTTAAAGGAGTACATAACCTTAGGAAACATGTCCCTCGCAGCAAAGGATCCAGCTGTCCGTATTTATTCTTGCCTCACCATTGTGTGCATAAGCATGAGAGCACGTGCACAAAGCTTTGTGTCGTCTTTGATGGGTCTGCTGAAACGACTTCTGGTACCTCCTTGAATGATTTAAATCTCGCAGGGCCGACCATTCTGCAAAGATTCTTTTCGATTCTTTAAAGTAGCTCCTTGTGGAGACATCCACAAGTACGAGAAAACTCAACGGATGAGTTAATTGTTTACAAACTAAGCAAAAACCTATGCAACAAAGCCAGCTACTTTCTTGGCTATAAGAGCCATGCATCAGCTCTCTTATGATAAAGATAAATCATTTCCAATTGGAGCAAAGATTGTTCGTAGAGATTTCTATGTCGATGATTTAATTTCTGGGGGCGAAACGATTAAAGAGGTGAGAGAAATTTTACGTCAGGAGAAGAATCTATTGTCGCGAATCGTGTTCGAATGAGTCAACTGCCCTCGAAGGCGAGTCGGACTGCGATAAAGAGCAGCTTATTAAATTTCACGATAGATCAGATATCGCCAAGGCATTGGGGCTAGTTTGGGATCCTTCTTGTGATCAATTCCTGTTCAATTTGTCTCAGATATCGTCAAGACATCGAGTCACCAAACGAATCGTATTGTCAACAATAGCCAATTGTAACTACATCCGAAATCTTTTTGCAATCTCTATGGAAGTCTAGTGTGGATTGGGATGACGCATTGCCAGAGCCCATTCTTTCGTATTCGGGGGGTTGACCTCTCAGTTGTCGATCGACCAGAACTTAAAATTTCCCCGATTGGTAACGCGTCCGCAAAGCGTCCATCCAGTTGCATGGATTCTGCGATGCTAGCATATGGAGCTTGCCTATATTTTCGGTCGGAGGACAATGAAGGCACAAAAGCTTATCTAATTTGCGCCAAGTCGAGAGTAGCCTCTTGAAGGCCTAAACAATTCCACGATTAGAACTTTCAGCAGCACTTTTATTGGCTGAGCTTATCGTAAACGTCAAGGAAACCATAGATCTCGATTACCCCTTTCATTGCTGGTCTGACTCGTCTATCGTGTTGGCGTGGGAATGTCTTGGCATCATGTTCCAACCAATCTCTATCCGGCGGATGTCGTGTCGCGAGGCTGTACCCCTAGAGAATGGCTGGAGCATTCCTTTTGGGGTAATGGACCTCTTTTTATTTTGCAAAACTCTTCGAAATGGCCCTCCCTGCTAGATGTAGGAAAGGATCTTCCGGAGCGTCGTTCCGCGACTCTAATTGGAACAGTGTGCGTTGACATTTCTGTTAACTGCAAATTCCTTTACACGTTTGATAAGTTGCAGCGTGTGTTTGCGTACGTGTATCGATTTTTTTCGAATTGCAGGTCCAAGGCTTTACCTTCAAATGGCCATCCGTTGAGGAGATCAACTCGGGGACCGTACTTCTTCTAAGGAGCATCCAGCAGATTTGCTTAGCCAAGGAGTATGGATTTCTTAGCCAGAGCAAGCCGTGTCCACAGAAGAGCAAACTGATTTCGCTGAGGCCAATTCTTGGCACTGATAGATTACTTCGCGTTGGTGGAAGACGATTCGAAGCACCCGATATTGCTTCCCAAGGACCATCCAGTCACCAAAGCAATTATCGTGTATTTTCATAAAAAAAAAACATGCACGCAGGATCGCAGGCGTTGCTTGCCACATTACGACAAAGGTATTGGCCGATTGGAGCTCGGAAGTTCGTGGCTAGCGTCATCAACAAATGCGTAAGATGCTTTCGGATGAGGCCTGTGACTTGGGATCACTTCATGGGTAATCTTCCAGCCAATCGAGATCAACCTTACCCAGCATTTCATACGACAGGAGTCGACTATTGTGGGCCATTCTATCATAAAGCAGAGTCCCGGAACAAGGCACCGCACAAGTGCTACAGCCTTAGAGGCAGTCCGCGAACTATCTGGAGCGATAATGCGACAATCTTTGTCGGCGCTAAGAGCGAGTTAGGCGAGATAAAGAAACTCTTTTTGGGCGAACAACATATCATATAGCTGCCATAGGAAAGATCGAAAAATCTATAAAGAAACAAGAAAGGAAGCTAGTTTCGGCAAGCCGAAGCTGATATACCCTTGCAGTCATCAAATATGTCGAACAAAATTTATAAAGGCTAAAAAACATCAAAGCTCTGACGATTTTTCTTTAAATTTCCCATATTTTCGACTATTGTTCATATGGCAGCTATATGATATAGTTGTCCAATTTTGATAAAATTTAATTCGTAATTCAAAAGTCGTTAGAAAACTCTATATTCCTGAAATGGTGCTTGTCTGATGAAAAACAACGATGCTAAATAACATCGAACATGTTCATATGCCAGCGATATGATATAATTGTCCGATTTTTCGTTAGTCGTTAGAAAACTCTGTATTCCAAAAATTATGCATGTCTGATAAAAAACAAGGATGTTAATATTTTTCCGTTATTTCTTTATAGATTTTTCGATCTTTCCTATGGCAGCTATATGAAAACGATGTCGGATTTGAATGAAAATTTTTTCTCGATTCAACGGTTATTAAAAAAACTCTATGTTTTGAAAATCATGCTCGTGGGATTATAAACAACGATGTTATAATTTTTTTTTCCATTATAAATATACATATTTTTTGATTTTTCCTATGGCAGCTATATAATAGAGATAAGCAATTTTGATAAAATTTAATCCGAAATTCAATAGTAGTTAGAAAACGCCATCTGGAAGAAATCAAGTCGATCTGATCAAAAACAACGGCGTAAGAATTTTTCATTTCAATCTCTCGCATGGGAGCTATCCGATATAGTCGGCCGATCCGGCCCGTTCCGACTTATATACTGCGTGCAATAACTACACAACTTTTGGAAAGTTTCAGCAAGATAGCTTTAAAACTGAGAGACTAGTTTGGGCAGAAACGGACAGGAGGACAGACGGACAGACGGACAGACTGACAGACTGACAGACGTACAGACGTATTTGGATTCTGATCGTGATGCTGATCAAGAATATATATACTTTATGGGGTCTGAGGTGTCTCCTTCACTGCGTATAAAACTTCTGACTGAATTTTATAATTATAACTAGCTGACCCGGCAAACGTTGTTTTGCCACCAGATGACTTTATAATTTCTGTACAAAATTTACTCAGTTCTAGACTTACATATGTATTGTAAAGTCATCTGGAGCGCTGTGAACCATGAGGGAATATAAAAATAACAAAAGGCAAATATTATTTTTAAGTTATTATAATTGCGCCTGGCATAAAATGAATAAAGGGTATTATAATCACAACGTGCATTCACGCGATTGGCAAGTGCGCTTCCGGAATCCTCGCCGCCCATAAAGTAGATTTGTAAGAATTTATGTGGTTCGTTTGGCATTGGCAGCAGTGAGCCCATTTTATGATAAACTTGGCCTCTAATTTTGAATGTAGAATTGTAATTTTGACCATTTGCATTAGTATTTCGAACTATTTCTGTTGCTCCGAACGATGTCATTTGAAAGCATGAATTAAATGTTCGAATTGACTTCAGGAACACGTTAGAATCTGGATCCGTGCCGATAAGTAAGCCGTTCAATGGTTCAGCTAGTATTTCAATTTCTGGTAGTTGACAATTCCTGACGCGCAACACATCCCAGCTGGCTCATTTTTGAATTTCAGAGCATGACAATGCTAACATTCCTTGTCCATTTCTAGCACCAATTATCGGTCTCATACTGGAATGCTAGACGCAGGAATGAATCAGATATAAAATTGATCGTTGTTCCTGTTGTCGTTGTTGGTCATTTGTTCTGCGTCTATTGACTGTGAAACGGCGTGGTTGTCGTTGTTCTAATCTTCTGTCTTCATTGCGTTCAGCTCGTGTATCTTCTGGCTCTTATCTGACTTCATTGCGTTCAGCTCGTGTATCTTCTGGCTCTTCTCTGACTTCATTGCGTTCAGCTCGTGTATCTTCTGGCTCTTCTTGATGCAATTGCGCTATTCTTTCGGATCTACTATTTCGCATGTATCGAGATCTACTTGTATCACGGCTCAAATCTCCCCCTTTGCGTTTTCTTGGCATTGCTCACTGGACAAAACACTCATAAATAGAATTAATGATTTTACTTAATGATGAATGATTTTTGCCGCAGTTTAAATTGATTTAAAATTATATGGTAGCGTGTTATTGTCAGTGTGATGAGGTAGGAACTCACTTTATATGCGATTTTTGGTATGTCGAACACGATTTAAGAGGATGAAAAATAGACGTTGGGTAATTGTCAGACTTACTCAATACGCTCACAAAATTTCATGAGAATCGGTATAGCCGTTTCGGAGGAGTAAGGTCACAAAAACTGTGACACGAGAATTTTATATATTAGATTTATAATAAAAATGTTTAGCTGGGAAACTGGCCAGTACGCCCCTAGTGCGGAGTCCTATTCCCAGAACGATAGTTAATGATGTTTCAATTGAGTCCGATTAGACATATTTGATTAACTTGCTGTACCCAGATAAACTCTTTAAACAACTCAATCTTCCCCAGGAAAAAGTAGATATTCAGTACATAACGAAAATGTCACTAAAATGTAAATTGCTCACATCGTGAATCTTTTTAGATCCGCACCTATTTAGTTACTCATTTACTCATTTTTATGAGTAAGCGGTATCTAATATTTGATACACTGTACTGAAGTGTTCCCCCTGGTTTTTAGTATTAAAACGTTGCGACATAATCATTAACCTTTAAAATAATTTTTTAATCCAAGAATAACGTTTGGGATTGTTTGGTGTTTTTATTTTTTAAGAAGCAAAAGTGTAGGGGTTTTCTTGAATTAACAAGGTTATTAAGAAAAAGAAACTCCGTTAAACAGGTAAGGAATAAAAAAGGTGGGCTCTGGGAGCCGTGAAAAAGGGAAGAGCGTTATGAGGAATATCGTCAAATAGGAAATAGAGAACGAAAACACGCCCGTTAGCTTATTCTGTCTTAAACTTGTCGGCTATATTCATTTGCTTGGTTATTGTTATCACGGAGAAGGCAAACTTTGCTACCTAAAGGCGGGAAAGAATAGGAGAGTCAGTGCTTGGAGGACGAAATAGTTTCGCAGGCACTTACACTTATGTTGCTGCTCATGGAAATCTGAAAGATGCCTCCGGCAATAAACACGATGGGCTGCTGCACGTTTTGCAGGAAATACAGCAGTGTGGTCTTGTAGCGGCGACTGGCGTCCACCCAGTTGGACTGGAATATGGCGTGGGTCAGGGACTCGCAGTCCTCCATGATGAGGTTGCAGGTGTAGCAAAGGGGAAATGTCTGCAGCAGAATCGTTATGACGAACATGAAAGAGGCGATGCCCGTCCAGAGGTCGGAGAAGAAGAACACGTTGATCAGCGTCAGGCCTAGCACCAGGCCGCAGAGCAGAAACTGTGTAAAGATGGTCCACGAGATGACCGGCCTGATAATCGCACAGTACCTGCGGGGCGAGAAGAACGTTAGTCCTTGCAGCCCAGCCGGCAGCCGGGCCTACTTGCCTCACAATCACCTTGTGGTCCAAGACGCACTTGACCAGCTCCTCGTAGCTCTCTGCCTCGCTCAGGCTCTCGTCGGACCGCAGCCGCCGGATGCGCTCCCTCAGCATGTCCAGGTGGGCGCGCAGGATGAGGGTGTAGATCAGCGGATACGTGTCCGAGAGCTGGTCCTGCAGCACTGCGCCCGACATCACCAGATACTCGAGCGTGGAGGCCACCCAGAGCTTGAGCGTGCCCTCGCGCCAGTCGATGAACGGGTTGTACAGCTGCCAGGGCGGCCGGCCGCTTAGCACCGAGCTGAGATAGGTGGAGCCGGCGTAGCCGCAGTAGACGAACGTGAAAATGAGGAACGCATGGTTGCTGCGCGCCACCACGCGGTGGATCTTCTCGCGCTCCTCCAGGGTTGTGCAGCGCAGGTCCAGCTGGTCCAACAGGTCCTTGGCCTTGATCAGTCGCCAGAGCATCGAGTAGGTGATGGCCACCTTAACCGAGGAGCCGTACGCGTTGAAGCACACCTGCAGCGAGGTGAGAAACTCGCCGGGCGAGAAGGACTTGATCTGGGTCATGTAGCTGCCCAGAAAGCCAAGCGGCAGATATGTGGTCGACCACATGAACGTCATCAGCGTCCAGAAAAGGTAGATGTAGCGTAGAATCCCCGACTTCGGCGGCAGCCAGCCAATGAACTTCATGGCCCGGTACAGGTAGATGCAGCCGTCGCGGGACCGCTTGTGCTCCGTGAGCGGGGCGGGGTGTATTAGATCGAAGACCATCCTGCGGCCAGTGTGCTGCGGCTCTGCAGAACAGGCTTATATAGGCCGGTGGCCAGCACAACTTGTGACATTTTCTTGGATGAAGTTTTCAATGAATTCGAAAAGTTTTTATTAAGTTTTAGGCACTTTTAATTATTCACTTGAGAATTCCTCTGCTGCGCTGCGTTATGTTTAATTAACCTGCCAAAGCACTTGACTGGGCCTTTCCCAGCGGACGGACCTTTCTCCAGTGCTTCCCGAATTCCGATTCGCCGATTTGCAGTCCGAAACTGCATCTGTCGACCGCTGCTTGGTTCCACATGCTGGCTTTCCGGGGTGCATAAATTATGAACAAGTTAGCGAAAATCGCAGACGGCTCCTCGACAGCAATTAAGACGTTCCTCATACGCAGCGTGGGCCGCGCTGCTCCAACTTCAACAGCGGCAAATGTATGTTTGCGAATGCGTCAAGGCAGGATGAAAGCACACGGCTCGAGGTTGTCGCGAAGGTTACCGAAAAACTTTAAAGGCCGCCTCTCCGCTCGGGGGGAATGCAAAATGGCCGCTAATAGCCGTTATAACTACATTTATTAAATTCCCCCATGCAGCCTGTGAGCGTGTGTGGGTAAGCGAGTGTGTGCTGAAAGCTTTGCATAATCGTCCTTAAAGCGTAAGCCCGCACAGATGCCACATGTTGTGTGGCGTATCGCCTGGGTGACGTCTTCCTGCAGCTTTAATGAAAAATATGTTCGCCGAGTGTTATTAATATTGCTCACAATGTCTGGCAGTTGACACATGTTTTGTTGTCGCTGTCGCTTTTGTTGAGCGTACCTTCAGTGTCTGCTTCAACTTCAGTTTCAGCTTCGGCCCTAGCTGCGTGTAGGTTGACATTTTTTTTCATTACTGCAACATTTCAATAGCAGGGGCATCGCAGCCGCACCCAAAGCATCCGGAGCATCCAAAGCAGCCAAGGCACCAGCATCTACGGGGCTCTGCCGAGCAGCTGTTGCTGCTTCCCTGGCGGTGTACGAGTGCCGTGTCCAAGGAGCGCTGGCAAGGGCAAGGATAATCTTTTGTTTGCTCCTGCAGGGCTCGCACACTTGAATACGCTTGCTCTCGGGTTCGTCATTGTCGTCGCTCCTCAGTCATCTGTGCCTTGGCCCAGGCACTCAGAAGCTACCACCTCCCCGCCCACTCCGGCCAGGATGGGACTGTACATCGCACGTCTGCCAAGACTGGACCGGCTTATGTGCTGACACATCGCAGCATTTGAATAGAATTTATGCGCTGCTATAAGCCACGAGAGGGGCACAAGCACAGGTCCTTCCGAGCCGGTTCCTCTGAAATCACCAATCTGCTGTCCAGGGCACAAATTTATGATGGCTGTGGCCAAATCAATTATCCCATTAATTGCAGTGCTTTGCAGGGCCAAAAGTAGACACGGCAGTTGGCGACGGGGATGCAAGTGGCCGGGTTGGAGCGTCGTCTATTTGAAGGCGGCGTGTGTCTTTTGGACCGCTTTGAGCACGCTCTCTGGGAGCATGCTTAATATCCTCGCCATCATTTATTACCGCTTGACGTATTTATTTTAATTAACGGAAATTAATGCCACGCTGCGCAGCTGTGCGAATATGTTTGCAACAGCTTACACACATTTTCGGGATGTTCCGTGCGAGCTATCGAGGTGAGATCCACATCCACCTGTACCCACACTCGCGTCCACATGAGTGCATGCCACACAGCTTTTTGAGAAGGATGTCAGCTGCTCAACGGCAAACTCACGAAACACACAGCCTGCAGAATGCCAGAACCCCGGGGGCGATAACTGAGTGTCAATCTGTTTTTGATTTGATGCAAATGAATGGAGCCTTCACTGAGTCCTTGAGATTAGTACGTAACCTGAGGGGTCTAGACGGAGGTCTTGATACTCGATTTGCTGTTAAGATCGACAAACGCTAATAGATTTACTTACCTGTGAGTTCGTTTTCGGAAAGTCAATTATCGTTCAGGTTCAATTACAAGTGCGTGTGGTAGCTCTTATACGAGTACACACAATTGAGATTTGTTTTGACTCACAAAGTCATTCTAGTTTTACAGGATTCGTATAATTTTAAAGTCAACGGTTGAGCCAAGTTTTTGTATATTTAATATTATTTTGTTCTTTATTCTGTTTTGGTGCCAAGCTATGAAAATGCATTTTGATGAGTTACTTTTGCTGGTGCCGCAAAGGCGGTTATGGCGAATGAAATTATAATAAAAAGAATTCCCCAGCCGGCAAAAGCAGCACAACAGCCCTTGAGAACACAAGGACATGTGTACATTTGGGTGGACGTCAGTTGTATGTACATTTTGTATACCCACTTAAATAATGCCCTTCGTTGTCCTTCGGAAAAATGGAGGGAACAGTTACACGAAAGTGATGTTACACAATGACTTTAAACTTCATTGTTCATTAAAGTCGTTTCTTTTATAGCAATATTTTTGTTTTTATTGGTAGCGTAGATCGGTTCCTTTCTTAGCTTTAAGTAGCTTTAAAAAGTCGAAAGACCAAAGTACCTTTAACAATTTTCAAGGATTGAGGGGAAACAGAAAGATTTTTAATGCCAGTAATTTTCATCTCTAAACTCATTTCCCGCAAACTATATCGAAAGAATAAAAATATGTGCTACGACTGCGTCGATGGTCAAACTTTAAACAACCTGCCACCTGACTTTTTGAGCCAAGGAATATCCAAGTCAAATTTAAGAAAGTTTCAAGCGACTATTGTGACTATGTGAATATTAAATGCAAATATAAAGCCATTCCGAATTGCCTTGTTGATTAAGTGTTCCCTTTCGAATCAAGTTGTTGCACACAAAAACCTACCAATTCCGAGCTCGAAGCCGTCCACCCTAAAGTACATGCACTCACACAGCTACACATGGGCGAGAGTGCAGACCAGGGTCGTAAATGCCATTATTATTTTGTAAACATTGCGACAGAGTGAATGCCCAAAATTGTTAGCTTACAAGGTCGTGAAAATACATAAAAAATGGGAAACATCCGCGTATAAAAAACAATGGCTACAACTAACACAGACGAGCGCAAACGCACACAGCAAGACAAATAAACAAGCTAGACATTCTGTTCTGTTGCAGCAACATACGAACTTTTAATTAATTTCTGTCTGTGTGACCCGTGAGTATACGGGCACATAAGTCTAACTGATTGCTATGATACTGCTACAAGCGGTGCGAGTGTTTTGTTTGCTTGTGTTTGTGTCAGTGGGGAGTGGAAGTGGAAGTGGGGGGTGCGGGGAATGTCCTTTCGGCACACACAAACAAACAGAACAACATGAACATTTAGTGTCGCTTTGGTGGCAAAAATGGCTTGACCCAAATGTAATCAGGTAATTTGTTTTGCACTGTCAATATTTACACGGCTGCCACGCATATTTGAACTTAATAATGATTTGCTGAGCCATTGTGCTCGTACAGATACACAGATACACAGATACACGGGGCAAACGGGGAGGGGAACGGACTCACTGCTCCGGATTAGAGGCATTGATTTCCCTGGAAAGCAATGGCTGCCTGCTCTTTAAATGTTGCATGCTCAGTCAGCCTAGACATTAACTTGGCCCAGACACGAGCCCCACTCGTGCTGCCTGCCTGTCAGCCAAGCAGTCAGCCAACTTCGACTGTCTGACTGTCTGACAGCCAGCAAGTGAAAGTAGTGCAAAAGAGCAACAACCGAAATTGATTTAATAGCCCTACATTATGGGGGCTAAATGCAAACATGTTGCCTCGTGTTTCCATATGTGCTCGGTCTTACTACCCCCATCCTAATACCAACTTCCAAGCTATTTGCGTCAATGAGCTGTAGTTGTTCGGCTCAGATAATTGGGAAACTCAGGTGAATCGAATTAATTACTGCATGCTTACGCCAATCAAACAATGAGCTTACCGTCCGTTTATGAGTCGGGTTCATACAAATATCGACCCTAGATGAAATTTATAATGCTTAAATAACCTTTTGGGGCTTTTGGGGGATGTGGTGCTTTCATATCGCACTTGAGCCGTCCTTACGACTGCCATCTTGGCAGTTTTGCATTCCCCTCTTAGTGCTATCAGACAGTAAAGTGCAATTAAATTTAGGATAAACTGAAGTTTCATCTGTCACAAGGAGAACAGCTCGCCAATATATATTTATATTTTGCAAATATTCATCAACATTGGGGGGCCCCAGGTCGTTTTCAATTCAATTACTACTCAAATACAATGCTTACTCAATTGATGTATGGCCTATCCTTGCTGCAGGGCCAACAGTTTGTTTCCTCTGGCCGTGCCAACACGTTTTTTACCTTATTTGTTCTCTTGGCTGCCAGCAAAAAGTAGGCAACATTTTTCATCCGAGCTCGAATTGAAAAGAGAAACTACGTTCGCAGACAACAAAACATTACACTGATAGTGTCGACAGTTGGTTGGTGGGCGGGCCGGAAGGAGTCACTGGTCTGTAGGCAGCCGGCGGGGCGGAAAGGGGCGGTGCGGACACGAAATCATATCGAGTACGGCTGACGACAAAAGTTGAACGGGGTCAAAGTGAATGAATCGAGCATATTGACCGTTGGCCGAATTGCTGTCAAACATGCGAGCCAGGAAAAACTGCCGGCCAGATGTTGGCTCTGGTTCTGTGGGCGGGGATCAACGCGTGTATTATTTGCCGAACACTGGCCATAATTCAATTTCGATGCACCCAAGTGCCCGAGGCGTTTAGCATCTTAAATACCTCCAGGGCGACTCTGCTTCTTAATTAAGGATACTCGGGGCAAGCGCCTGCCCGCCTATCGATGCCAGCGTTCACAGCTTGCGATCTCAGCCCGGCCCCGACTCCTTTGCAATCGCCACAGCTTCCTCTTTACGGCCAGGACGAGCGTCCGGCTATCTGGCGCTCTTCCGCCCGACCGCTCCCCCCGCCAGGGCGGTCATGCAAAAGCAATTTCCTGGACTTTTACCCGGCCACTAGCACAGCCACAAGAGCAGACACACACGCCCAGACCCACTCACAGATTAAGACGGCCACCACTCGAAAACCAATACGAATGCGATTATGCCCGCCGCGCTGTGTGTGCGTGAGCAGGCGCTTGCACCCACAGAGAAACGCCGGCGCTCGAACGGCGCGCTGTAAGTAAGAAATCATTGAGGTTGGTCGGCGCACTAATGGAAATCGAAAGCGACATGTGGCCAGCGACCCTCTTCCTGCCGCGCCCTCCCATCTGCCCCAACCCGCATTTTGCGTCCGGTGTGGAGCGATAGTTGTCAGCTGGCCGGGGCAGTTGCACACGTCCGGGCTTACCCACCGCAAAAGTTTAGTTGCAAGTTGCGGTTCTGCTTGCGGCGGCCAACTGTCCGCCGACTGTCGTGGGGAGCTCATCCCGCGGCCAGCTGCATCAGGATATCAATTTGCGGGACACTGATTCACCTGCGAAGTGGGAGAGCCATTAGAGTCCCGGCTGTTGCGGTCCTTCGGCAGCAAACGCTGCGGCACGTGACATTGGCAAGTCAGTTCCGTTTGCAAATGTGACACAGTTTGGAATGCTTGGGGCCGAGGATTTGCAGTGCCTGCGAAGCTTTCTAAGAGAGCCGTCGCGCGAAGGACTCTCTTCGGCTGCCTGCGTTCTGGAAGCGATGGAAATCAGCTGTCGCGGGCGGCATCGTCGGGCTGAATTGGAGTCGGAGGAGCAGCGGGCCGCTGACCTGAAAGCTGCCGGAGCTTTCGCTCGGCCGGGAAGGGCGCATGTGCGGACGCTCCCTTCCAGCGGCGAGCGGTTCCCGAAGGCGCGGTGAGTCCTGGTCGGCGCGGTCGTTCTGTCAGTCCTCTTCGTTTGCTCGTCGAAAGCTGTGCACGCTGCGGAAGCGACCGCATCGCTCGTAGTCCCACTGGCAACAACAACAAAGCGAACTCAGGCAGACCCTTCGCCACAGCAACAACAAGGCCGCACAGAGTGAGGGGCTGAGTTTGGAGCTGAAGCTGAAGCTGAAGCTCTGGATTTCCGGCGGCAAAAGTGCGTCTGGAGTTATCGAGAACTTCATGTTGTGTGTTTCTCCGCGCGAGCAACGAGTTATCCCTTCGAACGCACTTGTGATCGGGAAAATCGGTGTGTGGCGGGAGGAAAGTTTCAGTGCCCCGCGTCCCGCCAGCGAACGCAACTGAAAGTCCACGGTGACAAAAAGTGAAAGCGGAAACGGAAACAGAAACGGCAGCGCCTGTGTGCCAGAGGAACCGAGAAACCGAGTTACCGAGTTGCCGAGAAACCGAAGAATAGGCAGCGCCAGTGACAACTGTGAAGTGTGCGGCTGCATTGTCGGCCTGTTACCACTGTGACCCAAATCGCATTGCATCCGAACGTATGTCCGACGGTAGCTACAGTGCGTGACCGATAACCCCACTGGTGGTCGCCGCCGTGCGGAGTCGCGAGTGCCGCAGCCGGATAAGCAGCCAGGACCCGCCACCGGAATCCGCTCCAGGCTGAGCCGCTCCTGGACGCCATCCACAGTTGGCCAACCTCGCATGTGAGTATGACACGTGCCTAATGTGACTTTACCCCGCCTGTGTACCGCCCAACCTGCTCGGTGGCCTACGGCTCCGAGTTGGCTTATTTATGCGGGACTCGGAAGTTTGGGCTTTGGTTTATGGCCTGCGGCGAGCACAAACTTGGCTGCTGTCAAACACACAACACGAACCTCGCTTCAAAACACATCATTTACGGCAGGTAAACGGAACCCCCTTCCGCAGGGAGGTGGCTGTCTAAATGGGTTGGCTATCACTCTGGAGGAGCATAAACGGAGCATAACTTGAGGCTGCAGTAAAATTCTCTTGCGCAGTTTTTATAAGACACCCCAAGAAGGAACAGGTCTTTGGTTTTCGGATTCAATTCAACAGTATACTGATTTTTTTTCATATAGTAGAGATTTTTAAAAAAGTATACAGCCTTTGCTGTATTTCTGTCTCAGATGACAAAAAATAAAATTTTGCACTTATGTAATATTGCTTTTGAAATAATTTTTACATTTTCTACACACATATTCGTTGTAATATGTCCAGCAGCAGCATATAAGTTGGTAAATTGAGTTTTAGCCTGTCGGTAAATGATTAAATGGACCTTTCTCACTCAGCTCCTGGCATAATCTTTATCTGCCGTTCACCATTTTCTCCTTATGCTCTAATTGCATCGAGATTAAAATTAAAGTTTAAGCAGGCTACGGTATCAATGCTGGTTTAGTTTTTGGATGTGTGTTCGCTTAACTACAACGCCATACTTGTCACCTATACTGAAAATTGGCTTGAGCATATCAGGACCCCCAATAATTACTTTCGGCAACGTGCCGTAAACAGGCCCGACGCGATTATTGTGAAGCCGGCTCAGAGCACCAGACCATACCTCAAAAGTAATGCGAATGGGGCATCGGGGGTCCGACGGCTTCCTAATATAATGACAAAATGGAGGCCATGGAAATTGGCAAGGAAAGCCAAATATTTGTTAGCTGATCCCTTGGAGACGGCGCTAATGGCAAAAGTCGTTGCCGTTTACATGTGTGGGGCGCTTGAGGTGTGGGTGGGGGGTGTCAGTTTGTGTGGGAGAGTGCAAGGACGTCGGGGGATTGCCCACGCAGAAAGCAATTAAATGTATTTCCGCTTCGATGTCAAATTTAATGCGAGTTTGATATTCGAAAGCGCGCACGCACACTCACGTGCCAAGACGGAGAGATCGCCAGGTGGCAGGACGTGGTGATTCGTGGTAGACCTATGTCAATGCTGGACTGTCATCGGGATACAACTGGTAAGGAATGGAAGTGAGGGTGGGAATAGAAAGAGGAGCATGCCTCACGTCCCTCCTACTCCGCCTGCCTTACCGCCTTACCGTTGAAACCAAATGCGGCTGACACGCCTAATGGTCCTGTTTTATGACTTCTGTTTTGACACTTTGTGTGATGGCTAATGAGCACTGCCGACTCAGGCGAGTGCGAAATGGGTGTTTATCATACGCCCCTTGGCCGCCCGACCTATTTGCTTCCCGAGTTGAGTCGCAATGTCAATATGCTAGGGCAGACTAGGCACCGCAAATATTTAAATTGGAGCTCGGCGAAAAGTGACACAAAGAAGTACTCGCCTCACTCGGCATATTGTAGTTCGTCTTGTCTTGATTTGATTTGATTGTGTGCACATGGAAGTCCTCGCTAGTGTGTATGCCGTCTCGAGCCAGCTTTTTGCCCTGTTCTGCTCATAGTTATTTATGCAAAATACCCACAGGCATAATAGCAAAGCCAAATAAAAAACAAGCCATATTTAAGTAACGGATTACAAGGCAGGGCGATGCTGGAGCTGCTGCCACAGCAAAAACAGAACTGGAGCAGCTCCGTCGGACGTCATGTAAGATTCCCATTTAGTTATGAGCCCGCTTCTTGGCCGACTGCCTACCCGAGTCACTGGATCAGTGCGTAGACTGGCTGGCAGCCTGCTGGTCTGACTCTCCCCCCAAAATGATGGCTCGTGCCGAGGCCTTTGTTTTTATGCTGGCCTGGCCTTTAAATTCATTTTTATTCATTAGACTCCGTTCGTTGCTCGATGATGTCATGTTAACCAAGCCGCGAGCGCACGTACGCTCCAATCGAAAGACGCCCCAGCAGATGTTCCCCGCCAACGATGCACTTGGCAGAGGCATTCGCGTAATCTTGAATTTGAAACGTGCGCCATTAGATGCTTTTTGTTCAACTTCGGCCACACGCACTCACTCGCCCCTTTAAAATGCGGGCCTGGCATATTTCAAGCCGCGTCGGCCATCTGTATGTCACTCGGAAAGGATGCAGTCCAATAAGGATGCTGCCAACTTTTAATTTCCATTTATTTTTGTGACTTCTGCTCGGCCAGGCCGGCTTATCTCCCGGCATTGTGATTGTGTGCAGCCCGCATTGTGCGCACTTTGCAGATAAATATCGGCTGGCAGCTTTTAGTGCTTTCCGTTTGATTGGAACTTGCAATTCGAGTTTTTCGCAAGGTCCAGAGGCCCAAGTCCGAAAGTTCTCAAAAGGAATGGGACTTGCTAGGGACTCCATTGTGGGCCCAGGTCACAAACTTCGTTCAGGGTACGAACTCAATTAAATATGGGCTCTACCGTCAAATCGGCTAGGCGAGCTCATGACTGGAAATGGGATTAAAAGCCAACGCAAACATTAACAATGGGCTGCAAGACGGGGAGCAGCCAATTCAAATTACATCGCTTGCCTGGAGCTGTACAAATTAAGCCCTTAATGAGGACTTTGCATAATCAAGCTGAAGTCGAAGGCGGGCCACGCAAATTGATGACTGGAAAATTACACGAGTGCCTGGCTGGCAACCAATCTTGATTGATGGCTGGGGTCCCAGCTGTTCGCAGGTGCCGTCCAGGTATCAGTCGAGTATTTTTCGACTCGGTTGTGAATTATTCAGGGTATTGGCTAATTATCGAAAGAGCTTGGGCCATGTCCCTGTCCTGTGATTTGGGCTTCTGTGTCATGTGACACACTCGAAGTACAAACATTCTATTAGCACTGAGTGAATTATTAATAACTGTGTCAGCCGCCTGCTAATGAGATGTTGTGAGGACGACCGTTTTTGCGTGGTGTGGGTGTGATGGGTGTGATTTACGCACCGGAAGCCTGCGTTTCTCAACTGGCCACTTAAATTTTCGCAGTGTTTGCTTAGGCCTAAGCAGAAAATCATTAGTTGAAATGTGCAAATATCTCTAACGTTTTTATTAGCCGAGCGGCAAGTAATTGCCCACAATTAGGCTTTAATAGAACGACCATAGAGCAGCACTATCCGACTGCACTGGTCCTAAGCACACACGCACTGTGCAAAGAGAGCGAATCAGGACCGAAACAAGGATTCAGGTCCTGTGGGTCCCTGAGGATTAAGCTGAGCGTGAATACGTTTCGGCTGCTCGTTAACTAAAAATTACCCTGTGTGTGGAGAAAACTTCTTTTGTCTTTTCTGGGAACCGCCTCTGCTTTCTGCTTTTGCTTTCGCCCTACTCGGTGTTTTTATTGAAGCCATTCTGTCAGGGCGGAAAACAACAGACTGACACTAAAATGTTGCCACTTGTGCCAGACAGTCGACGTAGGGAGAATTCTACATTTTTCCATGACCTCTTTACAATGATTATTACATTTACGTTGAATTTTGCCATTTTCTTTTTTGTTTATTTATTTATTTTTTCTAACAACGACAAGTATTTTCCTGGCCGCCTGCTCGCACTTTGCATAAAAAGATACTAAATATTTTGTGCTCCTTTTCAGGATAACTACACGGTTGGCTCTTTAATTTTTACTTCGAGGGGCAGGGTTTTTTTTTATAAAATTCAGCAAACTACTTTTGAAGAAACTACATTTAAACGCTTAAAATACTGGCAGGCTTAGTACACAGAAAAGTCGATAACAATAAATAAGCTTAACTAGTTCTTAATATGATTTCACTTTTCTCTCTCTCGAGTACAAAACTGTTTGAAAAATAAGAAAGGAAGCTAGGTTCGGCAAGCCGAAGCTTATATACCCTTCCAGTCATCAAATATGTCAAACAAAATACATAAAGGCTAAAGAACATCGAAGCTCTGACCATTTTTCTATTAATTTTCGATATTTTCCCCTATAGATAATATGGCAGCTATAAGATATAGTTGTCCAATTTTTAATAAAACTTTTTTCTCAATTTAAGGGTTGCTAAAAAACTTGATATATACTCGTGGGATAAAAACAGTGATGATAGAGTTAACCGATTTTGATAAAATTTAATCCGAAATTCAATAACTGTTCAAAAACGCCATCTTAAAGAAATCAAGTCGCTCCGATCAAAAACAACGGCGTGAGAATTTTTTATTTAATACTCTCGTATGGGAGCGATCCGATATAGTCGGCGGATCCGGCCCGTTCCGACTTATATACTGCGTGCAATAACTACACAACTTTTGGAAAGTTTCAGCGAGATAGCTTTAAAACTGAGAGACTAGTTTGCGTAGAAACGGACAGACGGACAAGTGGACAGACGGACAGACGTATTCCGATTCTGCTCGTGATGCTGATTAAGAATATATATACTTTATGGGGTCTGAGGTGTCTCCTTCACTGCGTTGAAAACTTCTGACTAAAATTATAATACCCTTTTGCTCTGCAAGGGTATAAAAAGGGTTTTTGGATTTTCCGTTCAAGAAAAATTAAGAATTAAAATCAGTTCAATAAGGTCAATAATATTGACCATATGTGTAATCGAACTATGTTTTTTCAAAATTATCTTTGAATACAGAAAACGGTATTTTCAAATTAGTGTTTTTCTATTTAAACCTTACTTAATTTTAAGTAGAAAACGTTTTCCAGTTGCATTATTCCCAACCCAAATAGTAATCGAGACCGATATTTAATTCGACTTTAATCCTCGGCTCTGGCGAGTGCCAAAATTTTTATTGGCGTTGCACATGCAAATCCAGATTCTGTTTCATTTTGCTGCTTTGCATAAAATAACAAAGGAAAACCGAACAAAATCA